GCCATTTCAATAAATCAATGTTTATGGGGAATTTTATTGAGAGCAGTTACTCATTACAGCGTTTTTATCTAGAACCTTACATTTTTGTAAAGATGTAACAGAGATTAGATCAGTCAGACTGAACAAAACTTGAAGCTAAGCAACATCTGAATTTTAGTTTTACTTCTCAACAAGTTGCTTAGTTAGAAAAATATGTTTGATGTGCATTACTAGTCATTTTTGGTCCTGCAGCTTGAATGTGATTTAGAAACTTTTAAAACCACATTTTACATTTCACTGTAACTTTGCTGACCTGTTTATAGTATAATAAAGAGATGCCCTTGCTTATGGTGTGTGACTTTTAGTCTTCCAGAAAGTGAAATACGGGTGAAATGTAGATTTAAGGTTTAAGATTAGTGTTATGACAAATGATGAGTAAGTTTTTCCAACCACAAGAGCTTCTAAGGAACTTTAGTCTTTGGAAAGCTTCATAATGTTTGTCTATTGTTGACATGACTTGTGGTCATGGTGTGAAACTGGCTGCACCGGTTTATGTCTTCACAAAAGAGCATTTCACAGCTGCCACTAGATATTGTTTGCACCTCGCCATCCTGAAGCTAGTAGATGTATTCTTGTGCTTCCAAATCCTGAAAGATATTTAGTTTGGAATATGTTCTTTAATGCCAGATTGATTTTTATAGGCGGAGATCAGTTCGCTACAGCTGCTGTCTGAAAATTAATTAATCACAATTTTATCTGTGCATAACAAGGACTTTGTTGTGCTCCTAATTTAAAATATAGAATCCAACCTTGTGCGGTTTGATTAAAAAAGAAAAAATAGCAAGATTTCAGCATTTGTTTACAACTTAAACAAATTAATCTCAATAAATAGTATGCATGGAAATATAGAAGCCTATTATATTTTTGAGACAAATTTGGAAAACTATACACTTCTGTTTTTGTATTTTCTTTATGGTGTGTATGACAGAATTCTGCTAAGCCCACTTTGACAGTGATTTACTGATCTGCAAGGAATTTTGGTTCAGCGAATATATGAATATTATCTTCCAAGAGGAGATTGCTCAGGTTTAGCTTGGTTTTACTGGGGTCAAGATCCTCAGAGATTATTAATTTAACACCGGTGGCATACAAGCACAAAATATGGGACAGCAATTTTGATGAAGGTATGAGTTGACATGGAGCTCTGATTATATAAATTCTAATCATAAATATATTGAAAAAGCTGCCTCGACATTCTTGGATGCTTCTTGTAGCGTTTTTCAGAAGCTTCAACAGTGGGCTCAACCTTTAAAACACCAGACTTAACCTCTGAAGTTTTTTTTTAATTATTATTAGCAGGAAGAGTTGCTCCATCTGAATGCATTGGTTCCCAAGACCGGCAGAGTTTAATGAGCCTCTCTAGAAGTGGCACTCAGATTCACAGCTTGGGAGATGGCCAACAACTGCTCCCTGAAGACTGTCTTCTCATAATGAATGTTTTCCTGATGGGAAGAAGTCGAACTTCCACTTATGCGATAATTTAATGAAAGCTATTTGCTAGCCCTGAGAAGAAATGCTCTCAACATCACTGAATATTGAGTAAAATGGACTTCAGGGTAAGACAAGGCTTGGTGTACAGCTAAGTATTTTTCCTGGATGAAACCAGATATTCTCCTTACGGGTAGGCTCTTTTCCACTGCTTCATAGAAATTCTCAACATGCGGCTCTTTGGCCTGGAAATGTAATAAAGGAGTTAAAAAAAGATATTCTAATTTGCCTTATCCTTTAAAACACAATTATTTATTCTTCAGTTCACAGTACTTGGGACAAAACCTAGAAGGCAGCAGATATGTTCACAGGAATCAGGAGTTGATTTATTGTTGAAAGTTGTAGAAAAATCTAACATAGCTCTGGAATGAGCCACAACCTTGCAGAGAGTGAGACAAATTAAAACAGAGCGAAGCAATTTCATAGTTAGTATATTCTGAATCCGTGGCTTCCTGTCTCAGGGGTCTGCTTTGTCTTCGGCTCGTTTGATGTCCCACATAAAACCCCACTCCAATAACCCATATCCCATAACCTCATTTGGTAGCATGGTGACAGTTTCCCAGATTCTAAACAGTATCCGTTCCCCTTCATCGTGTGGCATGGGTCCAACCTCCATGACTAATTTGGCAAATGCATCAGCACTAGGAGTCATGACTTGATTGTACAACTGTGTAATTACTGGCGCTGAAACGAGCATGCAAGCTTAACAGAGAAGATAAATAAATCCTTTTTTTAAATTTTATTTTTTTTTTTTAGCATTTTCGGAAGCACTTTTGCTTCTGAAACTTAGGAAATTTGAATTGATTTGTGATGGTTTGCTCTCCACACAGCCGGGATGTCACTGAACCTCAGATTGGGCTGAGCATAGCCGCTGATAACAACGACAGAAGAACTTTACTCTGAAAATATACACACAAAACAGTGTCTGTGTGTCTTTTGAATATTTATTTCAAACGTCTGGCTTTTGTCCTCATTTTCTATCCCAAGGCCTGCTGATGGATTGCAGAGACATTACATGTCAGATTACAGCCGCGTTTCTCCACAGATCAGTAAATAGTATGTTTTTCCCTTAATTATAACTTGAAAAGTGTAAAAAATATTTGTTCTCTGTCCTTTTTTCCTAAATAAATGCTAATTAGATTCCTTGAAAGGTTATCACTATTTGGATTACTTGTAAGTGCAAATGCTAACAATTGTCTCAAAAGTCAGCAAACTGAGTGTAATTGAATTTAAAGACAAAATGGTCTCAGAAATTTGTTAGAGAACATTACAGAACATATTTTGGTTAAAGCATATTAATGTATTAGAATAGCCCACTCAAAGTCCAGACCTATTAGCAATAGAGAATTTATAGCACAACCTGTTGCTGTAATCAGATATTCACCATTTAATTTGACGAAGCCTGAGGTGTTTTGCAAAGAGGAGTAGGCATAATGTTTCTGCAACATGATCAAATGTTAATGGAATACTCACCCTTACTCCTAGAAATCAAAAAGGTTCAGATATTTAAAAGATTTTTGTTATGTATCTATGACTTTCGTCCTCCTTCCCAGACGTTTGACCTGTCAGAGAAATGGGTTATTTGTTGGTCAAGCCATTTCAAACTCACCTATGACTTCTTCAAGCATAAAGGACAAAAATGAGCCAGAGATTTTTTTTTTCTTTCTTAAACGTTCAAAGAAAAACTCTGAATGACCCTTAAAAAACCTTGAGAGCTGTTGCTCAGAACTACTTTGAAAGATAAGATGTTCTTGGAAACAATAATGAAGGAGAACATCTACATTTTAGCACAGCATTGTATATTTCTCATGACTGTCTGGCGCTTCAGGAGACACTTAATGCCACAACAAAAACATGTTGTTTTAGTCGTTGGTGCAGCAAATGTACACCGAAAGTGCCGGTAAAACGCCCAAAATGTCACTCTGTTCGTGTTTATTGTACCGTGTAAGACTGGAATTCTGCTTTAGACCGATCGCAGCTTTGACTGACAGAACCTGTTCTGACTGTCTCGATTATTTCACGGCCACTGGCTGCATGTATTCTCGGCTTTATGTTTCTTGTCTATTAAAGGAATATTAGTCAGCCAGCGCACAGCGGCATTTGTTTGGACATGACATTCAGGCAAGTTCGGAGCAGCTTTTTTAATTGAAGTGCTGACAAGGAGGTCACGCACGGCGTTCACGGAGCTCTTTTTGGTTTATTGGCCCGGGTCAGCCTGACTGAGAGCTTAAGCTTGTCAAAGCCCCTGGGAGGCAGAGATAAGGGAAGGAAAACCAAATAAAGCGGCTTTGCTCATGGACGAAGACAAAGTTACAAGTATGCTTAGTGTTCCAGAATAAAGTGATTATACCCGTCTGGACCAAATGCAACACTCCGAGTGTTTATGTGCAGTTTGGTTTTTGTGAACACTCTATTTAACACAAGAAGACTGAAGCTCATAAAAACTAGTGATATGTCGCAAATACTTTGTTCCAAATTGGAAGAATTCTTTATGATGAAGCAAGGGCGGAAGAAACCCTTGCTTCATCATAAACAGAGAGGCCAGATCCCCGTCTAAGAGCTAACCCAACATTCACTGGCCAGGTTCTCATATTTCATATAATGACTCGTCTATGTTCTGCATCGGGAACTGAAATTATCACAAGAAAGATAAGAAGCAAATGACACAGAGTTTGAGATGAGAATAACCTTCAGAGATGAAAAAAAAAAGAAATGCTCTGCATGGTTGGCATTTCAAGTCCAATTTCACCTCATTTCTTATTCTCAAATTGTTAAATCACAAATGAGATGCAGCAATGAGGCACAGCACAGGCTGAAAAAAATTTAAGAGAGCCTGAACTGTAAAGATTTTAAGCAGTGAGAACGCTGTGAAATTTCCAACTCATTTCAGGCAATCTAATGTTTCCGGTTTGACATTTTCCACACTCACGTTTTCAGATGTTTATTTATTGTTTTGTCTTACTTCAAGCGTCTATGCTTAGTGTAACACGATGAGGCTTTCGCCATAAGCATTAAAGAGTGAATAGAAAGACAAGGAACAAGATTTTTTCAGCATAAATGGAAGGCATAAGGCCAAATCACAACTCTGGACTTTCACGAGTTCACTTTAAGGCCTTCATTTTATTCATTTATTTATTTTCTTCTTATGTAGAAGTGGATTTGGTGGTGATGGTTACATCAGTTAAATGAAGTGTTCTAGATCCTGAAGCAGCCCTTCACTGACACATTGCCACCAGTATTTCTGACCTTGGGAATGATGCTTTTTGATCTGCTCTTGTACTTCTTTAGATCAGGGCAAAATGTGAAGCAGATTCTATTTGATGTGATCACTTCCAAACTAAGCTCATTTACCGTCAACACAGTGTTTGTAGAACTTAGGAACCACAGCCAGAATATGCAGTAGGAAAAAAAAAACATACACAAATATTCCATCAATAATTTAAGTCACGTTCCACAAAAAAGACAAACAGCCAGCAGGTGAATCCTGAACCATGGAGAGGCAGGGTTTATTAATCCCTGATATTAAGGTTCATAATTGCAATATGAAAATGCTTAATGTAAAAACAATGCACAAAATAAACAAAAGACAGCTGGAAGAAGGCACATACTTTGTCACAGTATCAGTTATTTTTGGAATAAATATAGGGGAAAATCAACAAAAACACAATATATTATTTTATTTTCTCAACAAAGATTGGAAACTTTAATTAAAATGTTTGTTTTTGCCAGCTTCAAAAGCAGACATCATCAAGCGCAAAAATGTCAAGACGAATCAACAAAAGCAATTTTACAAACAAAGAACCTCATCAGAAGCCGGGACAACAAAAAGGTGCCCTCAAAGCGAGCATGCGTTTCACACACGCCTACAGTTAACAAACCTCTCGTCTGGTGCCACGATGCAGTTTAGCCTCAGGTGTAAATGACCTCTGAGAGAAATTTCTTTGGTTTTCAGTCAAGCTTTGAATAAGACTACATGCTGAAGCTCCCACTCAGGCCCACTGGCGGCCAAAAGCTTTATTAAGTCCAGTCAGTTAAAGTAATAAAACTGGAAAACGTGCTGTAGGTGGCGCTCAGCTTTTGGCATGAAGGAAAATTGCACTTGCTTTGAAGTTCAAAACTAATAGCTTTGCCACCTGAAAGAGTTAAACTACTCGAACCGTTCAGCATGAAATGTCCAATTTTCCAATCGGCTGCAAAGTCCTAACCCGCTGGTTTTTCTCCGAGAGAGCCGTTTTCCTTAGAAGGAGAGGAAAATCTGATGCTCAGCTCATGTGCAACTTTTGTTCAACCTGTTTTTAGATGGAAACCGCTGACATACAGGATAATTTGACAATAAATATAATCATAAGTCATTACTCTGCATCTTCTGAGTTATCTTTTTTTTTTTAAGTAATAAAAATATTAAGCAGTCATTGCTACAGAGAGGATTTCTCTTGCATTTTGTGACATTTGGTAAAAACAAAAGATAAATGTTTGAGGTTTTGCTAATCCACTTCAGGAAAATGGTGTCAAGGGAAAATATAACACTTCCAAACGTGTCCACGTCTTCAAAAACCAGAGAGAATAAAAATAAAAAAAAGGACAAAGGAGTTTTTTTTTTCCATATATCTCAGCAGTCTTTGTCTATCTCATCTCCACTATCTAAAGCAGTAGTATTCGTCTGATTCCACCCTGAGTTTCAGTGGCGATTTGGTGAAGGATTCGCCAGAGATTACAGCCTTATCCATTAAACGGTCGAGGTCCGTGGGCGAGGACGAGTCTCCAGGTAGGTCCTCTGCCAGAGTGTCCAGGTAGCTGCCGACGGACAGGCCGTCCAGGCCGTCGCCGTTTCCGTCGTTCAGGCTGTTGAAGCTGCCCCGCAGGGAGGAACCGTCCTGGCTGTCCGACAGGCTGTACAAGCTGCCTGTGAGGCTGCCGTCCTGGCTCGTTGCGTCCCCCTTGTCCTCCATCATCCAGCGGATGGACTCGATGCCGTCGTTGATCGACATGAGCTGCTGCATGAGCTTCACGTCGATGGCTCGCAGGTTTGCCTGCACGGTGGAATTAGAACATTGTGATTTAACGTGGAGTAAATATCGAGTTACACCTCGATGTTTAATGTGTTACAAGGGGAAAAAATGGCGTTGGTCATCATCTAAATCAGCAAGTCTGAACTGCACAACATATATCTAATCACAGGAGTCGTCAGAGTACCAGTCTGTGCCATGTCTTACAAATAATTGAGTAATATTTGCACAATTTGGTTAAATAATGTATTATTACACCAATAAATTCTGTAAACAGATATTTATAGCTTGTCAAATGTCACACTCGATATTAATCTTTGTCAGGAAAATGTGGGTTAATCTTAATCAGTAATGCAGTTTCCATTTGATACAATGCATTCACATTTTCTCACTTACCAACAGAAGTTAATGTCTTTATCTATCTTACACTCATTGTCAATACGGTTATTTAATAATTATAAGAGTGAGTTGATCCAAACAGGGACCAGAACAGAAAAATAAATGTCAACTGGGGGCAGTAAAAAGGTTTTCAGAAAACAATAAAATAAAAACTGTTCAATAATAATGAGTAGTAGTATGTTATATGCTTAACTCTAAAATAAACAGAATCTAATATGTAATGATTTGAGTGGCTGAGTGTAATATATAGTTGGTTGATGAATATGAAATGAAAAGAAGAAAGGACAGAAGGACAACGAGTATGTAAGAAATATGCATGCCTTTTGGCAAACTGGTTGACTGACCTTCAGCCTCATTTATAGATGAATAACCAAAGAAATTGCCCAAAATTCTGATGTAACAATAATAAAAATGTCAACTTGAATAACACCTATTGGCAAAAAACGAAAAAAAAAATAAATGAAAAATACTAATCAGTGCAGAATCTTGGTTTTCCAAACCACTCTAGTTAAATTGACTTAACTCCCCTGACCCCCACAACTATATTGGTTTCTTATATTTAGAAGGGGGAAAAAAGCAGGACGAACAAAACCATCACCACAACTATTACTAACCAAACACCGGATCAAGTTCCAAAGCTCAGCTTAGAGCTTATAATGAGTAGTTGGTGGCTGATTTTTTTTTTTGGTTTTGTTTGCTCTTAACTGTTAGTGTTCTCATGGTTGGAACAGTCAGTGCTGTTTTGTTTAGACTATCAGCCTTTACTACGTGGCACAGACCACTAGCAGTTTCCTTCCACGATAATGATATATGCCATACACAGAGGGACCATTGATTGAACTCTCTGGCATGACGAACCGTGCCACTGGGTGTGCGTGCGTATGTGTGTGTGTGTGTGTGTGTGTGTGTGTGTGTGTGTGTGTGTGTGTGTGTGTGTGTGTGTGGGGAGGGGGGTGGAAGTGGACCGCATTTTTGCAGTGTATCACAGGGATTCCCCCGTCTGTTGGTGACAATCAGCGTGAATGAAAAACAACAAATGGGCAGCTGTTACATCCTGCCACCGGGACACGACAGCCCTTCTCTGTTCCCGCGAAACCGGTGGAAAAAATTTCCATCAATATCTGTTTCAGGCCTTAGCATCCTAAACTAATTGGTTTGTTTGCTTATATGGCAATGACTACTTGGGATTTTTTGAGGATTTGATCCGTAGAGAAGGCCAACTGAGATAATTGCAAGCGTAATATTATCCCTGACATCATAATAAATCAAATCCTAACACAAAATCTGCAGTGCCGGAACAGTCCACTGGCCATCTTAAAGGTCTGCTTCACAGAGATAAAACCCGGTCAACCAGACCATCTGCTCAGGAACCCTAATACTTTTGTGACCTTAGTCAGTCTAAACAGTAGTCAGCTGTCTGGGAAAGCTCCAGTGTAGAATATGTGGGAATAAGTACCTTTATGTGTACTTAAAACAAAAAATAAGAGACAAAAATGTATCATGTCATTACCTACCTTTATTAAAAATGAAAAAAGGCAGAAAGTATTCATATAGTGGCCAAGATGACAGTTATAATTAAGCTACCTGTGATATTTTTATTGCTATTTTGATTTTAATACAAAGATCTAACCACATCACAGAATAAAGACCTGCTAAAACAAAACACCTGTCCATGTGTGTAACACATATTAAAAACAATTGTTGCTCAAAACATATTATTTTAGTTTAGATTAAACCATCTGATCATGCATGGAAGTTAAAAATGAAGTTATTAAAATAAATTTCAAAAAATGATTAATGACAACAAAATCTTAGATATTGCCGTGAAAGGTTCAACAAATTCTATGAACAATAAGATTGGAATAATACAGTAATTGCATCTTTTCTATCAGCAGGTCTGCCACTGCTGTTTGTGTCCCAATAACTTTATTTGTGATTACACTACAAGCTGAGTTACCTCCTCAAAAACAACTATTTTAATTTGCCATTGGGATGCCACAAATTTAATTAGCCCACAGAAGTTTACCATGTGTCATTTAAAAGGTGAAAGCTGCATTTGTTTTAGTGACTGTCCTGCCTTGCTGATTGGAGCACACAGCAGCCCTTCCTCCACCTGTTGCTATGCACTGCCATCAGCTGGCTGAAAGAAAGCCCATGTATTTATTTAGAAATATAGCTGTTTATAAATCCCAGGAATAGTTGCCTATAGATTGGTATTACCTTTAGTATCTTAAGAGTTGCCAAAATGAGGTAAACGTACACGTGATTCATTATATTCATTTCTCTTAGTAACATTTAGCAACAAATGGTACAAATATTTAAGCTTTTTTTCTTCTTTTTTTTTTTGTCTTTGCTACTTTTCTATTTTTAAACTTTTTGAAGAGTTCTCTAAGCAAAACTGACTGTTTTGTTCTCAAACAAAAAAGTTAACTTAGGTGAGTTACAAACAAAAAAAAGGAAGTTTGATTTAAAAAAAAAAAAAAAACATTAAGAGACAAAAGTTCCATGCTCACCATCTCCTGCCTCAAGAACAGCATTTTACCCTGCAGTCGCTTCAGGTCCGTCGAACTTGCGCAGAACTTGCAGTTGGCCAAGTGAGGCGCAGCTGGCTTGTCGCGCTCGTGCCTGTCGCCGCGTCTCCCTCCCGCGAGAGACCGAACGAGACCGTCCGGGACTTTTCGACCCAACTTGGTCTCGATGTCCGTCAGGTCCGGAGAGCCGCTGCGCTCCTCGTCCATCGTCACTCTCACGGAAAAAAAAAAAACCCGCAGTGAGTGCGCTCACGGCGCGGCTTTAGGGACAAGTTAAAAGTGAGGCGCTGTGGCTGTTAAGGGAAGTCAAATACAAACTCGTCTGTGATCTGGAGCCACACCAGCAGCCTCCTGTTGAAGCCTGTAACCAGTAGGAGGACAGTTTAACACCAGCATGCTCTCTGAGGACACTCCCATTACAAGAAGGGCTCTCTCTGAAACCAGACACCCGCCAGGTAAGTGCTGCCGCTTACACACCTCTCTCCCCTGGGTGGAGAGAACAAGGGAGTCTTCGTGTACCTCTCTCTCTACCTTGAAATAGGATAAATAAATAAATAGAGAAAGAAGATTGAAAGAAAGAAAGAAAGAAAGAAAGAAAGAAAGAAAGAAAGAAAGAAAGGAAGAAAATATGCAAATTGTGCATGGCCTCCTTGTGACATTAAATAAAGGCCTATTTTCATATATTAATGGATCTATCCACCTTTATGAAAATATAATTTCTGCTTTTCTTTTCATTTTGTATTGAGACCACATTGGACAAGAAGCACGTTGGAAAACCACGAAGCATAGATTTATCAAAAGTGGAAAGGCTCATTCAGCAGCTTTGTGAAAACAACTCATTTTGAATCTGCTTGTCAGAGTCACAAGCAGAATTGTCAGAGTGACGAAAGTCAAAACATTCTTTAATAAAAAAACAAAAACAGACATTAAACTTTTGACTTAATTTCCTTTTAATTGCCTCATGTTGTTTTATTAGCAACTTTAATACATTAGTTGGGTAAATAAGGTGTAAAAAAACAATGTGCAACTCTGTAAATTCTGCACAAGCAAGATTCTTAGAAATTGAACAACAGCACCCCCTTGTGGGCATTACTGCTCCCTTAACTTGGAGATGCTAGTTTCTCACTGGCAGAGATTGTTAAAAGCTGTGTTTATGACAAACTCGTGTATATTACTGTGTATATTACAGTTACATTGTAAACCATGTAATAGGTTGGAAAGTAAATTACTTTAATATTCTTTACCTCATTATTTTACAGGGCATCATCTGGTATGAATTCTATTGGTTTTTCATTAAAAAAAACCCCAGCTTTTTCAATGCATAGTAAAACTGCTGTGATTTCACAATGCAATCTTAACTTTTTAGGGGATTGGGCATACACGCTGCAAATTTTTCTTCTTTTATGGAGAACTGAACAACATTGCTTTGTTGTTGGAGAAAAGACACGTGTCGGGGTTGTGATCTCAGACTACAGATTGGCCTTTGTCGTCGTCATAGCGCTGGTACTGATCCCCGAGCAGAGGCTGGTGCCCCTCCATCTTGTGAGATCGGGCACGCACAGCACAAGTGGTTGCTGCGAAGATGAGTGCCACCAACACGAGGGCGGCGACTATGGCTATGGTGATTATTTCAGTCAGAGAGAATGGTGTGCCTAGAGAAACAAAAACAGATTATTATTACTTTCAATTTGCCTAATATAGGCAAATTCTTTATATTATAACCACAAACTTTAATGTATTTTATTTTGATATTGTGTAACAGAAGGCAAAGAGAAGAACACATAACCTACATTTTGAATTTTTTTTCTTTGCAAATAAAAATCTGCATTTGTATTAAACCCCCTTTACTCCAATGCTATTTAATATAATCAAGTACTCCCATTTTCCAGTTGATACTAAAGTCCCCACCAACTTTCCACATCTTGAGGCTAACATTTTTGCTCATTCGCTTTTGTGGAGTAGCTTAAATTAAATAAAATTAGATGGAGAGCATCTGTGGAAATACCTTTTTAAGTCTTGCTACTGATTCTGAATTGGATTCATTTCCCAGCTCAATTTACCAGATGCTTTGATATGAACAATCCCATATGACTGACTGGGGGTTACAGTCTTGTTGGAAGGTGAACCAATACAGGTTCTTGGCAGGCTTTTACAGGTTTCCTTCCAGAGTTATTTAATCTTTACATCCCTGATAAACAAAAACCCACCTACAGCATAAAGCTGCCACTGCTGTTTCATTTTGATTCAGGGTGATAACCTTTGTTTTCTGCATTAGACAGTGTTTCTTGTATACCAAAATACCATCTGGCTAATCAAAAAGAATTTGGCATACCTGGCCATTCAGCTTCATAAGAGTAACCCAGATTTTCGGGGGCAGTCAAAAACATCTCTGCGTTTGTCACAGGAGGCCAGAAGGGTACCATGTTGTAACCCCTGTTATGACCAATAGGGGCGTTTTCTTCAGGATACACAGCTAAATCTGTTGGGAAATTATTCACGTAAGAGGAAAAAATACTAAACATGCACAGACTGCATATCAGAATTAGTTGCTATGGCACCTGGACCGTGTCTCCTGAGCCATTCATCGAATATAGCATCTGTAAAGGTGTGTAGCAAGACGAAGATGGGGTCATTGGGTGACAGGTGCGTCTGTCCTCCTGTTCCATTCAGGAACAAGTGAGCCAGGTTGTGGAGGCTCCTCACTATGGGGTCGTAGTTCCCCTTGGGGGCGCTGTAGCCTAACAAAACAACATGGGAGGCCTTCTAGTGACATATCATGTTCATATTAGTAAAGACTAAGATCACTGAGCTCTAATTCACCTTCGACCGTGTTTCTGAAGCTCTCAGAGGAGGTGGAGTAGAAAGGTGGTGTGTCGAAGGTGCTAACTTGAAGGCAGTCGGCCACGTCCTGGGGCTCTGGGAGACGCTGGACCATGGGCCTGTTGACGTTTCCTGCTGGGTTTCTCCTGATGGGAGAGGTCTCTGTGCCTGACAGAACAGAAAAACCACTGTCGTCATTCGCACACTTTTTGTTCTCTTCTGAAAGAAGACAGGGAATTGAGTGTGGTCACGAACACTTGTCTTACTGTTGCAGATGGTTCCCAGCGTGTCGTAGTCCTCAACACTCTCGCAAACGACCCTCCACTCCGAGAAGATAGAGTTGGGGCTTAGGGAATTTATGTCAAAGCTGCTCCTGGCTCCCATCAGGTCGTCTGTGCAGATGTCACATGTGTTCCCGCCGATGGCAAAGTTCCAGTAGGGGAGGGCGAAGGAGGGATCCTGCAGCATGTCCTGCATGACAGAAAGAGAGTCCAAAGTTGCAATAGGTTTCGCTCAAAACGGCAGATTAGGAGAAAAAACAAAAAACATTTACCTGGCAGTAGCTTCATATGAAGGTGATGATTACTACATTCTAAATTTGCAATTTAGAAAAGTATTTTTAGATTGAGATGCCTTAAAAAAACAGAGACTTCTTAGTCAGAAATGACTGATCGATGATCTTGCTTGCAAGCCTGTGCATTCACCAGAGGCTCTGCTGTGGCGGGGGACCGATAGAGCAGCAGGGAGCCTACACAAGCATGATTGACAGTGATAAGACTCTGCTGGTTCTAATTTGTTGTGTCTGACTAGAAGAGGTGCAGTTCTGTAGACATCTGTAAGAACACTGAGAGGAGGCAGAGGAGCTATTTTTTTCACAGATTATCTCTCTCATTCTACTGTTAAGACAGTTTTAACAAATATGTAAAAAAAAAAAAATTTTGTGAAAGTTATCTACTGCAGCTTTAATTAAACTAGAAATAGGCCATCAACATTCTGATTTTAATGTCCTCTACCCTGTCTCTTAAAAGCTAGGAAAACAGAAATGTGGTGCCATGAGGACTTTGCTGATTCAAAAGCAAAATAATACTTGAAGTAGACCTTATTTCATCATTTATATGCACACAACCACCTTGAAGCACATCAAAGACGGCATATTTTTCCTTAAAACAGATAAGAATCATTCTCATGGTTCAAATATAGGTTTTTGTATTCCTCGTGCTTTTGTAGGATAGAAAACTTCAGTGTTTCCCAAATTAGATTTTTCTCTAACTCTGTTTTGCCAGGTTTGAACAAAAGCCCCTAATTAAGGAGCTCAAGCAGCAAACCTGCACAGGATATAAGGATGGAGTTTCTCTGTAGGAGTCCAGTACTCTGCCAAGGTTTGAGCTCCACATGCCAACCCCATTTTCCACTCTCAGCTGTAACCCGCTTGTGAAAGGGATTATTAAAAATGTCTGGTACAGTATTTTCAAAAAAGAAAACCCTTCTCACTCAAGATTTTATCATTTCAGGCAAAAAGATAGCATATAAATTCAGTGGAATCAAAGCCCATGGATTATTTATAGTGGCATTTTGCACACTGCTTGTTTATTAAAGCGTAACATTGGAAAGTCAATTCGGATTTTCTGGTAAATACAGAGGACTGAAGATACATTCAGTGAAAATAAACAAGCAGAGGAAGAACGCAAAATAGTGTACGACCATAATCCTTTAATATGTTTAATTGATTTCACCTCCTCACCTGCATGTCTCGCTCCAGCTGCAGCAGATGGAACCTGTGCCAGGTGAGGAACCCGGGGCCTTCGTGGGAGAAGTCCACCCCGCCAAAGCTGGCCTGCCCAGCGCCCAGGAACGTCTTGCTGACAGAGTAGTAATGAGACCAGACGAAGTAGTTGTAGACTGTGACGTTTTCAAACTGCGTGGTGTTCCCGTCGGGGCCGAAGATGTCCGAGTAGTGACGCGTTGCGATCACCAGGTCAGGGTGCACTGTGCGCTTGGCCTGGTTCAGTGCGTTCACAAAGGCGCGCTTCTCTTCAGAGCTGAGCTGCATCACGTTTTTCCTCACTGGAGGGAAATAAAAAGATCGTTTTCAGTTGAAAGGCGATGCCATTTTGCAAAGAGACTCCAACATGTTAATAAGTCAGTTTTGAAAGTATTGCATTGTCTGCTCAAACACAATGCATCCATTTTGCAAAGCAGGAATCTCTCTTTTATTTAACAAATTTTAGTTGCTATTATTTTATAGACATTTCAGAGTCAAATAAAGGTGACCTAAACTGTCTTTAAAACTGCTTCCAGTCTGCATGCTCATTCTCATTATTGTGGAGCAATTGACAGCTGACCACACGATATTTATGAAAACAGGCAACAGTACATGTGATAAGTTGCTGTTGAAAGTACTTGTCAGCTTCAGCACAGAATGTCCACAATTCAACAGCAGACCAGTCACATCAGCTGCTGTCACACTTTGAAGGGAAGTAAGACACATAAATTTGCAACATGTCTATGAAATATTCAAATAAATACTAATATAACTGCGTGGAGTGGTGGTTTTTGGTGCCCATGGCAGAACTGTTTGTTTGCACCCCAAACATGTTGAACATTCCTTTAATTGCATGTGTAGTCAATGGATAGCAGACTCCCCTGGGTCCATTGTGTAGCCAGAGTGCTGAAGTTGATGCTGAAGCCAACATCAGTCAAACAAATTGTTTTTGTTTTAAACGGATGCGGTAAAACAAAAAAGTCACTTTTTCTTGATGTTTTGGGCATAAAAACATCAACTGTCTTCACACTAGAGGTGCATGGGTTTGTGTATGGCTGCAGCAGGGATGAAAGGTGCTCAACCTGGATAAAATTCATGCAAGAACTGCATTTAATGTGTGATTAACATGTGCAAATGTTTTTATAAATCACTGAAACATTTAGACAATTTGAGGTAACTTGTTTATTTGATACATTTCCTTGAAAATATCAGATTTATGAGTCTAATAGTAGTGCTATAG